ATATATATATATATAAAAGATGTATAAAAAATACTGAATTTCATCAAACACATAGGTATTTGTATGACAAGCAGCACCAGTGTTGGGAGCATAATAGTCCCTGCTTCAGCAGCAGCCAGTGGTCAAAGGACTTGGGAAATTTCATGCTTTGTTTCCATTAAGAATGAAGATGCAACCAAATTGAGACATTATAGAAACCGAGACATTATGAAATATAAAAAGTAAAATCTGCTTAACAGGGTTTCATAATATCCTGTTCTTGTGTGCACTTACAAATACATGTGCCTGAGCGTGATAAAAATGGGATTCAAAAGGGAAATTCAATTCAAATCCCGACAACAAATGACAAATACATTGTTCCATAAACCTACTTTCCTTTTTACTTTTCATCAAAGCTGTTTGCAGCACTTAACCGGGCAGGGGAGGGACTCTTCGGATGAGCCATCTGTCAAAACAAGGGAAGGGTCAGAACTTGGATATCTGAACTAGTTGTGACTGAGATAAAACAGTGCAATTCTCAGCTGACACCATAAAACAACCAGAGCAGGTCATTAAAATAAAAGACATTATTAACCCTCAGATTTTGTTCTTCTGCAAAGTGGAACTATGAATTTCAAAGTCGTAGGGACTGCACTGTAGGGAAAAATCAGTAGGAAATTCTATGGATTTTAAAGCCAATTTATTGCTCCAAAAGAGAGAGAGTGACTTGCCTGGAATTTGCGTCGCAGTGCCTGTGTCATTATTGGTGTCAACCCAGAGCCACATTCAATGTTTTCTTTATTATTTAGAGGAGTGCCACCAGGACTTCTGGAAAGATTGGACACAAGGGGAATTATTACTAGTTCTCTATTTTTTTCTAGATTAAAAAAAAAAAAAAAAAAGAATCCAGAGAACAGGAAGGAACTTACCTTTGTATATTGACTTTCTTCAGATGTTTCCGAAGATCAATCTGATTTTTAGGGGGAGTACTAATAGAACAAAACAAATAAAATATTTTCCACTCTGTAAACCATGTTAATCACTGTTTTAAACAGAAAAAAATCTAATATCAAAGAAAGGAAGAAAGGATCTTACATTAAGGAATTTGTGACGTGAGCTGATGGCTTGGATTTAGGTCTCAAACTAATACTCTGTAGATCTGAGACTGTAATTAATGCCCTGCGTGGCTTCCCTGGTGATTCTGCCTAAAGCAAGGAAAGAAATGTTACCACAAATAAAACTAACTTCAAATCTATTCAATACTTATACTCTGAAAGACTTTTGTGGTTTATGGCTTTTATGCTTTTTTTGAATTACTAAGATTTGAACATGTCTTGGATAAAAACAGATCTATTAAAAACAAAAACCCCCCAAACACTTTTGCAAACAATATTTCGGCTGGGCAAAGAAAGCCCCAAACCTATTGATAACAGACCTAAATCTACAGGAAAGCTCCATGGCCTTATAATGTAAAATCAGAACTGTCCTGCATGCCAGAGGTTGGTCTCTTCATTTCTTCCCTTCAAATGCCCAGGTGCAGAATTAGAATGGTTACATAAAACTTTGGAAGAGAAGAACTAATTTACTGAAAAAATTCTATGATGGGCTAAAACAAGCACTGCAGGAAAGGCACCATTTCCAGGGTGGTGTTTGCCTCAATGCACTGTCACCTAGTTATCCCTGTCCCCTCCAGCCTACCTTGTCCATTCTCAGGTTGCTGTTTGTCTTCTTCAGCTTGACATTCAGGAGGTCTTTGAGCGTGATCTGCATCGGCCCGTCCTTCTTCACCGGTGGTGCCTGAAAACAAAGGGGTTTGGAAGGGGAATCAGGATTGCCAGGTGACTGACTGTTCACAAACACACACATTGCCCATGGATCCAGGCCCAAAGAACCCAGGCACCAGGGAAAAAATAGAGGAGCCTTCTGAGTCCTTACCAGAAGTGCTTTGGAGCCAGTGCCCCGTTTGAGGAGGAGAGGTGCTGGAGGCAGTTTTGGTGGGGGCAGTGGTGGTGGTGGAGGAGGAGGGGGAGGAGGAGGTGGAGGAGGAGGAGGAGGAGGAGCAGGCACTGATGCCAGCAGGTCCATCTGTGTCTGTACAGGAGCACCCAGGACTGGTTTGTGACACCTTTGGCAAAGAGGATTTTCTGGAGACAAAGCTGCAGTTCCGTTCATCTGAAAAACGACATAAATCAACAAGAGGACATTAAATCCACTGGCAAAAGGAGATGGAATTTTAGAGGACAAAGGTTCTGGCTGAAGTTGATCTGTACAGGCACAAGAGCCTTTCAGGAGGCTCATCAGCACACCAGTTCCCTCTGGCTGTGAGGAAACTGCAGTTCAGCAACACTGAATGCAGGAATGCCCTGTGAGAACCCTTCAGATTTCAGAGCTTCTGCACTGACCACAGTTCCTTACACACCCACACAGACAGACGTTACCCTGCCCCACCGGGGCTGCCACTGACCTGGAGTGTTTCTTGGAGCTTGGAAAATTCACTTTCCAACTTTTCCAGCTGCTCTCTCAAAGCATTAAGTTCCCTTAAGTAGATTTGTGATGGAAACACGGTGTCTTTAACCACCTTAAAACTCTGAGCATAAAAAGAAAGCACATTAGTGTTTTCACCAGCAGGTTCTGTTTCCAGAGACATGCCTGTGATTACTATGGAGAGTTCTATGGCAAGGTCTTATTGCAGTCCATGGAAAAGCACAACAGGAAGATACAAAATTTCATCAAATACTTCCCTGACAGGAACCCGAGGAGTGACTTTCTAAAAGAACTTTAACTTCATCTAGGAATTCTAAAGTAAAATTCACATTTGACCTGAAAAGCTCAAAGAATCATTTCTATGCTATGAAAGAAAAACCACAGCCTTTGTCACTTTAAATCCTGCTGATATTCCAATAAAAAACCTGCAATTGCACATATGCAGTGGGCACATGGTGGGATTCTTGGGACTGTCCAAGGAGTTGGACTTGGATGATTCTTGTGAGTCCCTTCCAACACAGGATATTCTAGGATTCTATGATTTCATGTCTTGGCACATCTCATTATTCATTCCTTCAACAGTAAACACTAAACATACTTTAAATGTTTCAATACAGTGTTTCAATGTTTCAATAAATACACTTTAGGTAACTAAATGTACAGCTCAGCTCTCAAATCTCCCCATGTATCCCCTGTCTGAGCACAAAGAACCACCTCACACATGGCTAAAAATGGAGAAACACAAACTGTACCTGTGCAATTTTGTTCTGGCCCCACCAGTACAGAAACGATGCTGCTGATTCCAAGGGTTTTATCACATTTTTTGCTGCTGATTCCAAGGGTTTTATCACATTTTTTGCTGCTGATTCCAAGGGTTTTACCACATTTTTTGCTGCTGATTCCAAGGGTTTTACCACATCTTTTATGCTGGGCAAGGCTGATGGCCAGAGGGAGCCCCCTGGGACAGGTGTTGGGTTCAGAGGGAGATCAACTGGTGACCTGCAACAGAACATTTCAGAGTGAGGCCAGAATTATATTTATCATTTCAGCCTCTAATAAAGTTAACTGTGACCAATCATCTGGAAATTACAAGCAGGAATGGCAGGTAACAAGAGAGTAAATGTGACCAGAGAAACCAGGAGAGGCCAAGATACATTTCAATAAAAGGGGAGGGTGGGCAATAATATTTGAAATCTCTTTTTATTCAAATTGCCTTTCCTGGTTATTAAAGTTAGTCATGGAATCACTGAGGTTGGAAAAGACCTCCAAGATCATCATGTCCAACCTTCAACTGAGTAACACCAAACCACATCACAAAGTGCCATGTCTGCTTGTCAGCTGAACACTTCCAGGGATGGTGACTCCACCACTTCCATGGGAAACCTGTTCCGGTGCCAAACCAGTGAAGCTTTTCCTAATATCCAACCTGAAACTCCCCTGGCACAACCTGAGGCTGTTTCCCCTTGTAAGTGCTCAAGATGATCCACGAGATGAAGTTATTCCACAGCACCCCTGCCAGGATGGAGACAGGCTCCAAACACTATTCTATTCCCTCAGTTCCATGAGGAACTGGGAGCAAAACAACAAAACCCAGGCACTGGGTGAAAAGCCAAAGGTCAAGCTGAGCCTCTTACCCTGGGGAAGGACAAACTGAGCCCCGGGGCTTTGCAGCATCTCTCTTTTGTTTCAGGTGAAATCTTCCTCGGGCTCTCCTTTTTTGCCTGCATCTCTTACGCTTTGCCATTGCTGTTAAAAAAGTCACATTTAAAATGAATGTCCAGAGACCAAATTACACACTGGGGCAGAGCTGCCACCCAAGAGAATAACGTGGGCAGCACCCCAGACATCCAGGCAGAGGTTATTCACAGCTGCCTTGCCGCAAGCATCACATAATGCTGATAAAAAAAATATATCCTTAAGTTCTCACGAGCCACAGGGATGTCTTTGTACCCGAGTAGTGAACAAAAAAAGCACCATTTTATAATGGGCTTCTTTCCCCCTATTTATGTAAGAAGTAAATATTATAAAGAAATATAATTATTATAAATAATTAGAATAAATATATTAATATATAGCTATAGTAAATAGAAATATATAGCTATGTTAAATAGAAACATATAGCTATAATAAATTATAAATATAGCTATAACAAAC